GCAGAGCGTCGCAAGCAGTCAGCCTACCCAGAACTCAGCCATGGCGGGCCTCAACAGCTCGTCGTATAGCAGTAGGGTAGTCGGTAGTTAGCCTGTCCCCAGCTCCGCAAGGACAGCAGCCGCATGCCCGATTTGCAGTCGCAAAAAGGTGCGCGAAAAAAAAAAATATGACTCGCGTGCGGACGCCAAATTGCTGGCGGGCTCGTCGGTGCAGCCGGCGATGACCGGGAATGGGATGGAGACAGCTGATGAAGTGTTGTTCTGCTCTTATCCGTGTGACAGCGGATATGTTGACTGCGAATCCCCGCTGCTGAGCGACATCCTTGCAGACTCTTCTCTGGATCCTGGCAAGCCGCATTCCCTTGGTAATGTAGTGCGTAGTCGGCCTGGTCTGGGCCTGCACTGGGATGCCGGTAAAGACATGTGTGCAAAAAAAGGGCACCTCTTAACTGTCAACATACACACGGCACCAAGAAAGACACCATTTTTTGATGGCCTTGCACGAAGGACATACTAAAACGTGCCCTCGCACAGCTCTCCGTCGTGTTCGGCACGTCTGCACCCTGCAGATGCCGCCAAGGCGCAAAGATTCAAGCAAGTCAGGTTTCTGCAAAGGCTGCTGCCGAGAACCGGGAGGTTGTTCAAGTGACCCGCGTATCTTTTTGCACATGGCACTTTCGACGGTTTGGTTGACCGTTAGTTTGGTTGACCGTTAAACAGTGCAGGGCAACACAAGTGTGCAATGCACGTTTACTCACTCAAGGGTGTAGGATAAAGCCAGTTCAGGATTCAAGATTGGGCCTGAATGTTTCGGATACAGGCGAGTTCGCAACCTCGAACCTGTTTCCAAGCTAGGTCTTGAAACAAATAGTTGTGGCTGTTCGTCATTGTCGCGATCTTAGCCTTTTGTGACAAATTTGGCTCGAACAGTTTACGGTCGAAGCGTTTGTGTGAATTCCGTGCACAAGATTCTGATCACAACGGCTTGAACAGACGAACTTGCTTGCATGGTCGTTGTCACAGTGTTGCTTCGCAAAGCAGGCGGAGATCATTTAACAACGAGTATGAACGATTTACTTGTACGTGATTTACGAGTCATACGAAGCAGCAGAATCATTGGATGGCCTCGTTCTACTCCGGCAATGCTGCTTCTCGATCGAATCAATCATCACGGCGATAGCGAAGGGCAAGCAGCACGCCACCACCCACGTTCGATGTCAGAATCAACAAGGAGATAACGGGCCTTGATTCTGGAGTTGCCGTGCTGGCATTTGTACAGTAGCGATGGGCAGAACTTGAAGAAGCTCACTTGGTGACTGCATTGCACCGCATGGCCAAGATGCGCGATGGTTCAGGTCTTATGGACAACAGAACATTTCGCCAGGTTGTTGAGTTCGTGCATGATCGAGTGCGAGTGGGCAGCACGCCACGGCACATAGCCAACACGATTTGGAGATGCGCCCGGTTGGCCCACAAATCGACGGCTTTGATTGAGGACGGGTTGTTGGCAGCTTGTGAGACCGGGTGCAGTGAAACTTTTTGCCCATGAATCTGATCCAACAGGATGCCGGCCGAGTTGTCATCGCGCGACTAGGCGAGCTCAAGCCACAAGAGCTGGCCAGCGCCGTGTGGGGGCAGGTCCGCTCCGTTTTTCACAGTTTCTGTCACGATCGTTTCTCCTGATTGTTTGAGCTCGCAGTAGCTACGCAGGCTTCATCGCAGCATCGTGATGAAACTTCGAGCATGGCAACTGCAGGCCAAGCTGTTCAACGCCTGCCAGGCAGAGTGTTTCGATGCAAAGGTCACGAAATTCCATCTAAGAATGCATGGCGTGCGGCTTTGTCCGTTCCTTCCAATTCGCATGTCCGGGCTCATGTAGGAAAGTTATGAACGTTCCCCCGCGAGAGGCTCCGATCCGCAAGGCATTTCTGGTATGGCGTGGGCTTCGGCACAGTTGCGATTGGCAGACGCACCTTATTCTGATGCTGCGTCTCATGCCGTCCATGCCCGCAGCACAGAATCAGGCCTGAGCCACTTTAATTTTGATTGTGACCACTCCTCTTCTCGTGTTTTGAAATTGATGAAAGGAGCTCAAGAGATTTCCAACATCATTCGGGCTTGTGGCAAATTGCGGCACCAGCAGCCGTCGCCAGCAGAGTCTTTGGGTGCGCGTGCGCTGCAAATCACGGACCAGTTCATCAGTGGGCGTCTCAGACATCAGTCAACCATAGTCAGTCTACAGTCGTCTGACCCAGTGGCTTGCCCTTGACTTGTTCTTATCTCCCGGGTTAGGTCATGAGACATGAACAGCACTGAACGTTTACAGAGCTGTGTCATAGTGTGCATGCCGAAAGGCCAGCATGCATCCAACATTATGTGGTCGCCAGCCCGTCTCGATTGCCGCCACCCTCCACTGGTGCCTGGGTTGATGCCATATGATGCGAGCTTCAACGCAAGGATGAACATGCAAGACTGATGTCTGTCCCAGGTTGCGGCCATGTCGGAGTACGCCTTGAGGAACATGACCGTCTTAAGCGCGCAGGCCGTATCATACATGCACGACGCAGCAACAGCTATTGCTTAATGTCGGAAGTCTGGGGCAGGATCTATGCATTACAGCTTGGTCAGCAGCGGCATTGGAACTGCGCGGCTGGATGCCCCAGCCTGAGACGCTTGTGCGAGGTCGTCAGTTACACAGTCCGGCATGCACGTGTTCAGCTGGCTGCCCGAGGCTTTTGGATGCGACTGCTTGAGAGGTCCTTCCCAAACTGCAGGCTTGATTGAGTTTAATGAAGACTTCAAGGGAGGTTCCTAAAGAACACGCTTGCTGCAAGGCTTGTGGAGCCCAGGGCATTGCCAACCTCATCTGGTCTTGCGGCACGCTGCCCGGGACCTTGGAGCTAGTGTCAGTTTAGAAGTGCCTTGTTGATGTGGTAAATTTGCCTGCCAGGCTTTGGTTCCATTAGCCGTTGACTGATGCGATTGCATTCAGAGGCGCGGTCATGAGCTATCTTTGACATCTCAGGCAGCATTCTTTCTCAGGGAGCATTCCTGAGCCGAAAGATGCAGTGTCTGGGCTTCTCATGCCCCCACCAAATGGAACGGATGGGTGTTGTGCACTGAGCCTGAGCTGTTGCATGTGTAATGAGTTAATGTTTCCGTTTCTGACTTAAAGCTCTTGTTTGCCAGGTCTGGAGACGTGCCTCCAACCGCCGGCGTCGTCGGGGTCGTCGGGTGGGAGTTCTAGAAACACGCCCAAGCCACAGGAGCAGGCCGGGAACGCCTTGTTGGGCATGCCAGCCAGAGCTGACGGTGTTTTCGTTGCGCAGGCCAATGCTGCATGGAGCCTTACCAGGCAGAGCCTATTTCTTCCATCCCGGGTCCGAGCTTAACAGCCTCCTGCGTGTACCCAGTAATCGATCATGCGCTGTGGCGTTTGGCCAATTTTGCACAAAGGAGGGCAATCATGTTGATGTTTTTTTTGCTGCTTGCTGCTTGGGAATGTAGGGCCGCTCACCAACAACCACTGTTTTGCCCGTTGCCGCTTGCACCCTTGCTTGTCTAATTTTGTCTTGGTCGGGCGCCTTCTTGCGTGTTGCTGATTCGCCCGGCACAGGGCCACGAAACCAACCGTACTGCCCGATCTACTGCATGTTGACTGCCTGTGTGAGTGCATCGGAAGTACAGGGTCGCGCTGAGGGTTCACGGGCTAGATCTCTGCAGTCAAATCATCGAAGCTGGAAGGAAAGAGCAAGCGGAACTGTTGACAGAATTGATGATATCAGTGATTCGTGCATGGCGGCAAGTGCTGTGAAATGCTCGGATGTGCATTGCGCAAGTGCTGGGTTCCGACTGTAAGCTTGTGCGTCTTCTGTACAGTTTGGAAATGGGACTTTCCGAAAATATTAGGGTACCTTATTTTGGGGTCCGTATAATCAGGATCCTATTATTTAGGGTACTATATTAGGGTCCCCTATTTCCGGAAACTCCCAAATGGGCGAGCATCTTGCCTTGATGTCCAGGCTTTCCGCTTACTCGGAGCCGTTGTTGGCGGCAATTGCAGCATCCTGCATTGCAGGATTCGACGTCTTGGAGGGAGTCAAAACACCATGGCAGGCTTCAGCCACAGCTTTGTGTAACTTTCATGACTTGCAGGACTGCCGATGGCATCGCCACAGGACTGCTTCTGGGAAACGTGGTAGCTGGGGACATCGCGTAGGGCGCGGCCAGGATATTTCAAGCACGGCCCGGTCCTTCGCCAAGTAGGCCCTTGCAGGCCTGCTTTCTGTCGTGGTCTAAGCATTGGATTCCCGTGAAAGAGGTCAGATACGTTTTGCCCGTTCTTCATTTTTAAGATCGTGTTCGGGTCAACGGATTTAGCTTGAGGTTATCGGAAGTTGAGGTTATTTTCTAGTTTGCCTCGATTTGACCACGACCACAGGTGCACCACTTTTTGCTGCTGCCGCCACCGCAGTCATGGAGCGAGTGGGCCAATCTGGTCCCCAGGACCACTCCGAGAGGTGGTGTGAACATGTGTACATAGGTTCTGGCTACAA